TTGATCAATCCTGCTCGGATTGTTGGTGATGGTCACCGACTGACACAGTCTCTTTGAGAATAAAACACTCCCGGATACATCGATAACACATCCGGGTCAGCTCGAAGTCATCGCTTCGCGATATCACCTACTATCCACGATGGACCAACATCAGTGGCAACAACAACAGGCAGATCGTCAATAACTAACGCAACCAACTAATGGACGGCTACTACAGTGTGTGCTCGCTCAACGAAGAAATCTTCAAACCCATGGGTGCCGAACTCAAAATGAACGACTCGAACGGCATGGTTGTGTTAGCCAACAACGGAAAAACCAACTTGAGACTCAGTTGACCGTTGATGTCGGGTTGATGTCAAACTACATACCACCAAAAACCACCATGACCGGCACAAAATTACCAGATCTCATTCCGTATCACGAACTGTGCATTCATCTCGATAAGCTGAGCACAACCGACAATGTTCAAGGCGAACGACCTTCCACGCTGCTGAAAGCCGTTCCCGTGAAAACAGAAAAGTACAACGATGGCAAAACAGAATTGTTGTCGTCGCGGCAGTACAAGAAATTAACATGAGGCACCATCATGGAATTGGAAGTATCAGTTTTAGACATTAAACACGATCCCATAAGTATAGGATATCTCAGCGCAACACTGCACATATGAGAGTGATCATGTCTTGATGTCCATTAACACGCGTTAGAAAATGGCCAACATAGCGATCTCTGACCTCGGGGACATGCACGGATTTGACGAACCCGGAGTCGACGGCAAACTGTATGCCTTGCAACTGAAAAACAACATTTACAAAAGCATCAAACTGCCGCCCTCTACTGCTGCCGGTAGCAAGAACGACCGAGGCGATTTCATCGATACCGGAGGAGTGGTCATCAACACGCAGTACGACCTGGTCCGCAACGAGGACAAATGGACGATAACCCCAGCGTTCCGCGGCAAGCTATTCCACCTGGATGACGTTGAGACCACGGCTGTCTCCAGAAACATGCAGTACACTCTCCTCTTCAACGACGACAACAAATGGGTATTAGTGCCATCCCAAGTAGACTGGAGTCTCAACATCACGCTCGGCTCTCCCCACGCTTCCACGGACAACAAAGATGACTATCTGACGAAAGTCGTGAACAATGGAACGCTGCTCGTGGCTTACATCCCAACTCATAGACGCGAGCTGATCGTCAGAAGTAGCCCACATGCTATCGAGCTTAACCCGGACGCGAAAACGGATTACATGCAGGTGAACGCGAATGCCTACACCACTCTGCAGGAGTCACCGCCAACGTGGAAGACATGATATCGCTTCACCAAAATTTTCCTACCGACAACATACATGTCATGGATCTGAATTGCACGTCCGGGAATTAACTGAAAACCAAGTGAAAACCATTTCAGAAATTTGTATAAACGATGAACCATCAATCCAACGTGAAGCTAGCCGATCTCGGGGACACGCGAGGGATTCGATCTGCCCGGCGAGGACAACACCTTATACGCCCTGCACTTACAAGACAACGTGTACAAACGACAAGAAGTGATAATCGAATCTCAGTTGAACAGGATCATCGATATTATCCTTACCACCCCTATCTTGTCATGGATGATGAAGGTAATGTCATGGAACTAAAAATAAGGGGTTGTACTAAATAGTTTTATTCCAGGTACAAAAATAGGGAAGTATGTATAAACATGCTGGAGTCGTGCTTTGTCAGGCAGCCGCTGACAACTGTCGTGCGCCCGATTTGCGAAGTTCAGATCATGACCGCATCTCAAGATTTTCCTCAAACGCCAGTAAGGTTATCTGAGGTTCGCGAGTTGGATGCAATCCCACAAGATAGGAAGCTTTATATGCGATCGCAATCTATCTATCTATTTCTTTCTCCCTCGTTTGGGATTGTGGACTGCAGTGGACGCTTTTGCTAAAATATACTAAACCACAAAAGAAACGCAACTTGAATTGCAAATGCCAACAAATGTTAATTTATGGAACACATAATTTGAACATTATGAATAAACAACAGACAAGTAAACATTGAAGAAATGGGTAGTAGTCTCTGATGAAAACAACACTAATGTTTATTGAAAAAGCACTTGTCACCACTCCACCCCAAACACAAAAAATGTCATGAAACAGTGTCTCAATCAGTAGCGGGTGTGACCCCCATTGGCTGCAATACACGCAGTACAACGTCGTCTCATTGAGTCAACAAGTGTCTGGAAGAAGGCTTGGGGCATTTGATTCCATTCTCTGACCAGTCTAGCTTCCAAATCCCTAAGGTTTAGAGGTGGACCAGCTGCCTGTATCCGTCTTCCAATTTCATCCCACACATGCTTGATCGGGTGCCATATCCAGGGACACAGAGAGGACCAGGGCACTACAGCAATGTTGTTCCCTCAGGAAGTCCATAGAGACCCGTGCTGTGTGAGGACAAGCATCGTCCTGCTGGAAACCTGGAGCTGAGGCTGGGCCTGGAACAGCGTGGTTTTACGTTTCGTTTTGAAGAATTTTGTTTCTAAAGACTATGGCAGTCACCCCACACCATGCGCTGATCAGCCTCCAAACACGCCATTACGCTGTTCTCCATACACAGAATTGGCCTTCGTGTGTGACATGTGGAATCTCGACTCATCAGAAAACAACACTTGTTGCCATTGTTGACGTCGCAACGCTGGTGTTGTCAAGCCCACTGTAAACGATGGTGTAAGTATTGGTCCAACGTAAGGGCGGTGACGCAACATCTGATCCCCGCTGCCCTCAGTCGGCGACAAACGGTGTGCAGAAATGTTACGGTGTGGCCCTTGAATGGTTGCAGCCGTCTGTAATGCTCGTTGTTGTCGGTTACGCGGATGAGTAACCCGGATGTCATGATCTTGACCTGGCATTGTTACTCTCAGATGTCCTGAGCGTGGCCGGTCTTGAACATTTACGGTATGTCGATGCCTTGCGGAGAGTCTGGTGATTGATGTCACTTGACATCCGAAGTGCCTGGCCACCGCAGTTGCTGTTGATCCGGTCAGCAACATTCCAATGGCGATCCCTCGCTGCTGTTGCGTTAGACGTGGCGTGTTTTTTCCGAGTTCTTCAAGTCGATTTTGTGGTGTATGGTGTTTTTTGAATGACCTGCCTTATAAAGGATTCAACTGGATGGAAATGCACGCATTTTTGTGTGAAACGTGAAAACATCATGCAGAAAACACCAAAAGCATGAAAGCAATCGCATTCCGGCGATATGGTCAAGAATAACCGGAAACAACGGCAAAACCATCTTGGAATGAGTGGTTTCATGATGGGATAGTATTTCCCCCTATTATAAACTTATTTGAAGCGCATGTTTTTCACAAAGTAAGTTGCGTTTATTTTGCGGTTCAGTATATGTTTTCAATTGCCCCCTGCGCCACTATGAACATGTACGACAATTTTTACGTTGGATAACTAGCCTTTCCACGGACAGAACCCCATGCTCCGTACTTTATTCTTAAAGTAAGGAGGCAAGTCTATGTAGGATCCGCCTTTGAATGGCATGTAGCTTGCTAACCTCTCAGATACCTATCCACAGCGTGCTTTGTGGGCATGAATCGCAATTCGAACGACTGGGTGTCTCCCAGCAATGTTAACAGTTGTGCTTTTACCATACAAGAATAATTTTTCAGTCCGCGACTTTTTGCGAGAGCTTTGAGCTCTTTTACTGTGGGAGGGTTAACATATTTAATCTCCAGCAATGTCAGCAATTTGGCTTTCCTCTTGCCTGAATAACCAGTCATACCATGACTTTTCGCGAGAGCTTTCAGTTCTCTGACGGTAGCCATGGTTATAGCCTAAGTAATTATTTATCTCTAATAGGCCTTTCATAGCCCATTATATTGACTGTTCTTTATTCTTATAATACAAATTTCTGTTTGCTTTCGCCACACTTCCATGTTCCTTGCATAACTTCAAAGGAGCTCTCACACCTTTTCCGCATATAACGCAAACATAGTTCATGCAACCTCTTTTTATAAGTTTCATGTGCTGAGAGCATCGGGGCCTCTACAGTTCTTATTACACAAATCGGTCGTACCGAGAAGCACGTAAGAACACTTATTCAAAACCATTTTGATATACAGTGAAGCCTCGTTAATCCGGACGGTTGCGTTTCTCAGTAAATTCGTCCGGATTCCGAATAGTCCGGACTACTGAATCAAGACCCAAGTTGCTTCCCTAAGAATTACAAAAACGACACGAATCTGGATAAAACAAATAAGCATTTAATGTAAAGCTTAATTCATCACATCAATAATTTTACCGAGTGACATCCGCATGTTGATCCGACGTGTCTGATCACGTCCTTCCTCAGCACAGGTGAGGTAATGTCTAACAAGCGATCTATTGTAGTATGCCTTGAATGTCCGAATTATTCCTGCATCCATCGGTTGAATATGAGGCGTGGTATTTGGTCACATTTCGCAAAGTTAGCGAAGCACATTTGTGACTTGCAGCATTGTCGTAAAGCAAAATCACTTTTAGTCCACGTGACGGATCTGTCTGTCAAAGTACATTAACCAATCACAAAACAGCTCACTTGTCATCCAGCGCTTTGTTTTGTGGTGTCAATCAAAGTGTAAATGTACAGTATCTTCAGTCGGGAGCTTTTTATGTCTAACTAAAACAACAACCCAGTTGGCCAGTTATTTAAGTAAACATCGCCGGGCGGTGTTGTTACGGTTCGTGAACACGACTTACAGCGTCCGGACTTTGAACCAATTTACTGTTTATTTTGCTGATTGGTGACAGCTACTTACCGTCCGGTTCCGGAAACCGAATTTCCGGATTATCGAGGCAAATTATATAGGCATAGATTGGTAACAAGCTGAAATCGCCCGGGAGGCGAGGCATCCGGATTATCGGAGTCCGGACTAACGGGGCTTCACTGTACTCAAAATGAGCCATTCGTCTAATTTAGCGATAATAGTAACATTTAGCGCTATGTTTCATATCACTAAAACGATGATGACCATAAAAGAGCTGCGATCTGAGGCTAAAAAAAGACGTCTGGTTGGCTACTCCGATCTGACTAAACCAAAACTTATAGAACTTTTGAAAGAACAAGAGATCATATTCACACCAGCAGATCTTACAGTGGAATGCTTCCTAAGAAGTTGGAAAATGCGAGTCAATGGAAACATAAAACTGGATAGAGTCAAACCCATTATATACGACAAACTCAGGATGGAATTGTTTGATCTGGGTAGCATGAAGTATCAACTTCCAGTAAAACTATACATAATGAAATCCTCAGGATACATGAGCGATATTCCTTTTTGAATTAATGCTGTTGCAGCTTTTACCGCTATAGTTTGCATTTTTTCGTCCAGTAGGTCATTGTAGTCTTGCTCTATCTAAGATAGCTTTCTAGGATCTGGGGCACGACTACAGATTGGAAAATCTGGAAACGTTGGGCTTTTCGGTTCCATTGCGTTGTCGTTGCCGAAACTCCTGGTGCCCTACGGATTTTGTGGCTCCTATAATTGGAAGTTCGAGCAACCTTGGTGTCGGGTCGAAAAAAAGGATTTGAGGTTGCTGAAAAAATGGGTTGCCGGCTCGGGGATCATCATTTTTACTAGGCGCTGCTAGTGGAATTAGACAGAAATAACGCCCTAGGAGGAAGTGGTCAGGAACCCCCCATTATGTAGACTGCTATGTCTAAATTGTAACCCGACTGTCGGGCAGGTTTATTTTGATAATCTGGCAGTCGGGCGGGCAGATATTTCGAACGCAGGTTCTTGGGGAAATGTGAAAATGGTAATGGGGACAACAGCTATGTTAAGAGCTTGGATTACTCAAACTGAGTTTCCTCACTGATTCTTCTTCCAGCCCAAGATACAGTGTTCAACTCTACAGGCAGAAACCCAGTTACTAATGTCTACAACTTGGCCAACAACACTGGGGTTACAATCACACCAGTTCAAAGTAAGGTGATCTGTGTATATTTAGAACTGATCTAAATTCCAAAATATTCCTAGTTTGGTATTTTATGTAAACTTTGTTCCATGGAGTTCATTAAACACATGTGGAACAATGGCTGTCGTGACAAACAGTTGAGACTGTTTGCTATCTTACTACCCCACACTGACTCACATGTCGTGACAAACAGTTGAGACTGTTTGCTATCTTACTACCCCACACTGACTCACATGTTGGACGATAGTTGTCATGACAAACAGGTGAGACTGTACACTACCCTACTACCCCACACTGACTCACATGTTGGACGATGGTTGTCATGACAAACAGGTGAGACTGTACACTACCCTACTACCCCACACTGACTCACATGTTGGACGATGGTTGTTATGACAAACAGCTGAGACTGTACACTACTCTACTGCCTCACACTGACTCACAATGTTGGACAAAGTTTGTTATGACAAACAGGTGAGACTGTACACTACTCTACTGCCCCACACTGACTCACAATGTTGGACAATGGTTGTCATGACAAACAGGTGAGGCTGCACACTACTCTACTGCCCCACACTGACTCACAATGTTGGACAATGGTTGTCATGACAAACAGGTGAGACTGTACACTACTCTAGTACCCCACACTGACTCACATGTTGGACGATGGTTGTCATGACAAACAGGTGAGACTGTACACTACCCTACTACCCCACACTGACTCACAGGTTGGACAATGTTTGTTATGACACACATGTGAGACTGTACACTACTCTACTGTCCCACACTGACTCACATGTTGGACAATGGTTGTCATGACAAACATGTGAGACTGTACACTACCCTACTGTCCCACACTGACTCACAATGTTGGACAATGGTTGTCATGAAAAACATGTGAGACTGTACACTACTCTACTACCCCACACTGACTCACATGTTGGACAATGGTTGTCAGGACAAACAGGTGAGACTGTACACTACTCTACTGTCCCACACTGACTCACAATGTTGGACAATGGTTGTCATGAAAAACATGTGAGACTGTACACTACTCTACTACCCCACACTGAAACACATGTTGGACAATGGTTGTCATGACAAACAGGTGAGACTGTACACTACCCTACTACCCCACACTGACTCACAATGTTGGACGATGGTTGTCATGACAAACAGGTGAGACTGTACACTACCCTACTACCCTACACTGACTCACAGGTTGGACAATGGTTGTCATGACAAACAGATGAGACTGTACACTACTCTACTACCCCACACGGAAACACATGTTGGACAATGGTTGTCATGACAAACAGTTGAGACTGTACACTACTCTAGTACCCCACACTGACTCACATGTTGGACGATGGTTGTCATGACAAACAGGTGAGACTGTACACTACCCTACTACCCACACACTGACTCACATGTTGGACGATGGTTGTCATGGCAAACAGTTGAGACTGCACACTACTTTACTGCCTCACACTGACTCACATGTTGGACAATGGTTGTCATGACAAACAGGTGAGACTGTACACTACCCTACTGCCCCACACTGACTCACAATGTTGGACAATGGTTGTCATGACAAACAGGTGAGACTGTACACTACTCTACTACCCCACACTGACTCACAATGTTGGACAATGGTTGTCATGACAAACAGGTGAGACTGTACACTACCCTACTACCCCACACTGACTCACATGTTGGACGATGGTTGTCATGGCAAACAGTTGAGACTGCACACTACTTTACTGCCTCACACTGACTCACATGTAGGCCAATGGTTGTCATGACAAACAGTTGAGACTGTACACTACTCTACTACCCCACACTGACTCACAATGTTGGACGATGGTTGTCATGACAAACAGGTGAGACTGTACACTACTCTACTGCCCCACACTGACTCACAATGTTGGACAATGGTTGTCATGACAAACAGGTGAGACTGTACACTACTCTCTTACCCCACACTGAAACACATGATGGACAATGGTTGTCATGACAAACATGTGATACTGTACACTACCCTACTACCCCACACTGAAACACATGATGGACAATGGTTATCATGACAAACATGTGAGACTGTACACTACCCTACTACCCCAGACTGAAACACATGATGGACAATGGTTATCATGACAAACATGTGAGACTGTACACTACCCTACTACCCCAGACTGAAACACATGATGGACAATGGTTATCATGACAAACAGACGAGACTCGGCTCACTTGGTGGGAATTTACTAGTCATAGTGACAATAAATTTTGTTCATGATGGCCGAAAGTATTCCAACATGAACATTCATATTGAAATGTATATTCTTATTCTGACAAATAGCAATTTGTTGATTCAGTCAAATGCAATGATTTTCAGTGTAAAGCTTGTGTTGTTGATTTGCTTTTAAGTTATTATTATTCCATGCTGCAATCAATAAATATTTCATTATGGGTATGATTACACCTGGTTTTTTTAGTGCATGTGTTCTATGTTATATCTATTTATTTTTCCTTATCCTGACTTTGCTCATCACCTTCTTCCTTCGGTGGTTATGTGGAAACTTGAATCCCTTCCAGTTCCCTGAAGTGAAAGTACACTCATCCTTATCTCCTGCCAAAAGGCACCCACGTGACCATGGGCATGCTGTCCTCACTCTCTTCTTCATTGCCCAAGCTTACGGTTGGGCGGTCTCTTCAGGGTCTCTTCAGGCTTATATCCTTTTTTACTTTGGGCTTTTGACTCAAATTACGCCGTGAATGGAAAATATGTGATATACTCCATCATATTTATGAAAACAATTGTATAAATTAAGTCTAATCTTTGAACGTTTTCACTCCGTTCCAGGTGACTGTTTGTTTCATGAAGTCATGTAAACATTGCAAGTATCTAGTCTCAGCGTTTGACTCGCACCCTGTATGCTCGGCTTGTGTCTTGAACTCATGTTCTTTATTATGACGATTTATGCAAAACTTTGGATAAGGTGTGGCGTTCCAGCAAAGTCTACACTGAGAAGGGTGAAATGCAGTCATCTGATCGTGAGTTGTTGCCATCTACTTGTGCAGAGCATAGCCGTATTCCTGCCCCTACCATGTCGTCGGAGTCATTTCTCGTGGTGTCCCCTGGTGCTGCAGAAATAGCGTCTCAGCCCCCGGCTAAGAGGAAGTCCCCTCCTACGGAAGGATATGAGGTGCGGCATAAGAAGAAGAAGTCGTACTCCTCTACTAAGAAGCCCTCTACATTGAAATCGTCGTCGTCATCAAGATCTACAGCTCCTGTTACTATTCAACAGTCGTTTGCGGACCACCTGATGCCTGGTGCTGAATCAGACGATTCTACATACTCAGACCCACTGGCATTAGAACTTGAGATTGTCATCAGATCGTCTCAACATTTGACTACATCCAGGGCTTCAGGGTGGCCGAACCCTTCATCGCAGAGCAGACGAACTTCATCTTCTACGTTGTTCAGGCAGTCTACACCTCGCAATTCCTCAACCAAATACATCAGAGTGTGTGAACCCTCCTGCTTGCAGTCGTCCGGCTTCCATGCAGCAATCATCGAGGTGGGTGAACCTCCCAAGACATTTATCTGATACTCATCTCCGTCATCAGTCATCTCATAACCCGTTAGTGTTCGCGAACGCTACCACATGACCGACGTCTATGGAGGAGCCTACGGCAATTGTACCTCATCAACATATGACGTCCTGTGCGCAGTCCTTCAACCCAGATGACTGTGTAGATGACATCACTAGGAGGGTGGTTCAAGCTATGACACAGAGGTTGGAATTAGAGAGCAATCAGACAACTGGTCACTCATGTGCAGCCTGCGCGAACCCCTCAGCCTGCACGAACACTACAACCTGCTCGAACCTGTCAGCCTGCGGGAACCTCACGACCTGCGCAAACCCTACTGCTTGTTCAAACTCAACAGCCTGCGCGAACCTCTCAGACTGAGCAAACCCTACAGCTATGTCAGAGGACAACCAACAGGATGAGGTGAATTCCTTCATCCATACCGATGCGGAGGTGTTATCCTGGGTTGCAGATGGCCTGCCTACTTCGTCGCCTACTCAGGACTCCAATCCAGCAGTGAAGTATTGTATGACAAATGAGGATTTTGACATCACAATCCCACCTATATCTCAAGTACCCGAGAATCCTAAGATGGCCTTCGCGAAGACTACGAAGGCACAGGGTCAACATACGCCTTTGTTTAGCACTCATAAATTCCCTCTACACAATATGAACACCTTTGTCAATTCGCCGTAGATTGATGAAGATTATCATCTCCTCAGCAACTTGAAGTCCCATAGTTACAGAGTTGAGTGAATTATGGTATGGAGTACAGCTGATCAAACTAACTCCTTAGAACAGTTACAGTTAGAAGCAGCTCGTATAGTGACAGGACTTCCAAAATATACTTCTCGTGATCATTTGTATTTTGAAACTGGTTGGGTAACCCTTAGTGAACCTGGAAGAAAAGGAAAACTTTGCTTATTTTATAAGATTATTCACAATATTGCACCATCATACCTCCAGGAATTACTACCTACATATGTTGGCCAAAAATCATGTTATAACCTTCACAACTCTTAAAACTTCTTCCTTCCATTTACGAGATTGAAACTTTCCTTATCATCTTTTTTTTCAATCTACTATACGAATGTGGAACAATGTGCCCATAGAAACAAGGAACATAGATTCTTTAGCTGGTTTTAAATTGAAAATTCAAAATAAAATAAATGCAGCCCCGCCTTTCTTTTGGTCTGGTACAAGGAAATTGAACATTATTCACACAATACTAAGGTACAATACAAGTCCGCTTAATTATGAGTTATTCGATAAGATCAGATGCTTCTTGTACTTGTGGTTGTTCTTGTGAAAATTCATGGCATTATCCTTTAGAATGTTCTTTGTATACAACGCAGCGTAAAGATTTGTTTGCAAATGTAAATACTGTCGTTAAACATCGCATACCCATTAAGAGAATTATTGTTTTTTGGTCATGCTACACTAACACTAGATGAAAATGAATGATTATTTGAACATGTACACAGATGTATTAAGCTCACTGAAAGATTTTTGTAGTTTTATTCTTGTATATATTATACGCATCCTCTTTAAAGACTTTGTGAATTCATTTCATAAATCCCTGTTGTCAATGTTTTTCAATATTGTAAATATGATATATGTAATTTCTGGGAGAGGGCGTTCCTAAGTTGGATAACTTGTGCCCAATCCATTTAATTTTCGAATAAAATATGTTTAAAACAAAAAAACACAGAGTTGAGGATAAGAAGATGGCTCAACTTGACACCACCACAAGGAAGGCGATTTTCAGGCTTGCTAGATCCAGGGCTATCAACGAGGCTGTTATGAATGCCTTCAAGAATCCTACGACAGAGGAAGAGAGGAGATTTTATCAGCGCTTGTCAGTCAACGTAATTCATCTCTGATCACTTAACTTCAACATTGGTGGGCATCACATTATTACATCGTCAAGGCCTCCTAGGATCCTGTAACTGTCTGGACACTTACACCAAGCCTCTCTTAAGGAAACGTTGGGCAGCACCGACACTATTTGACGGAGGTATTTAGCAGATGTTCTGGGAAGTCACACAGGACTCGAAAGATCAGATGCAGACCATGAACAATATGTTCCGGCAGAAGTCGCAACGTAATCAACTGCGGTCACGTTTTTCCGGCATCCAGAGAACTAAGGAAAAGAAATACCCCACTTCACATGATGGCTCTTTTCGTCGCTCCAACTATAACGCCTGAGGTTACTCTGACCATGGTCGCTTCTCCGACAGTGTCCAGGGATCTCGTCGATGAAGTCCAGGTTTGGAACGACTCCAGACGCTTGTACAACCGTCAACCGTAGGGAGAATTGGAGAATACTACAGGATGAGTATGTTGTACAAGTACTACGAGAGGGATACAAGATACAGTTGAAGGCAATGCCACCACTCACTGTCAACCCACAGGTACATCGGTATCCAAAACTTCAACGTGTCAAGTTGACACAGGCCATAGACACACTACTAGTAAAGAATGCTGTATAGATCTTAGATCAAGACGAGCTCACACCCGTGTTTTATTCTCCAGTTTTCCTGGTACCGAAAAAGTACTCCAAGGAGAAGTTCCACCTCATTTAGAATATGAAGCGGTTCTACCTAGATTACTTACTAAGACCGGGCAAGTTGAAGAGGCTACATTTGCCTTAACTGCGAGATCTAATCACACCCAACGACTACTTAGCCAACATGGATCTGCAAGATGCATACCTACACATCCCCATGCATCCAGAGTCGAGAAAGTATCTACGATTTCTCTACCAGGGGCAACATTACCAATGGAAGGTCCTCCCTTTTGGAATTTTGTCGGCCCTGTTGCTATTCACACGTATAACCAAGCCCATAGTTGCACAATGCCTTCTACCTAGATGATGGAATTCAGGCTCATCAACAAGCAGATCAACTCAAATGTCAACTCCAGTTCACGATCAAACTACTGACGCAGTTAGGCTGGCAAGTCAACCAATTAAAGTCAGATTTATAGCCATCTCAGGATCTACAGTTTTTAGGCATCAGGTTTATCACCACGAAGAACTGCATTATGGTACCGGAAGACCGATGGTTGAGCATTCAGGCAAGTCTACCAGATGCTATCAACACTCCACTAGACATAAGATGGTGGCAACGACTCCTAGGTCTCTTGACATTGGCTCAGGCTCTCACACACAGAGGAAGGTTACAACTACGTCCGTTACAACGCTTCCTGATAGCTCACCTAGACAGCGTCAAAAGAATCGCCATTCCGCAGCACCTGAAGTCATATCTACTTTGGTGGACAGACAAGTCGAATGTCTGCAGAAGAACTTATTTACGAGAGCCGGCTTACAACCTACGTCTCTTTGTGGATGCATCACACCAAGGTTGGAGTTTCGGTAATAGTCCTTACCTTAACATATTGACTCGCGACACCAGTTTCGGTAATAACCCTTAGTTTAACATATGGGTTGTCCAAGATAACTAGACATTGTGGCGTACTAGTTGATCTTAAAATCCATGAAATCTATATGATTTACTTCTTTTACGTATGTAAGAGAAGGTGGTCTCCCGGTTATGATCAGGAAATTGAAGCATTCAAGCCGCAAGCTGAGTTCCCTGGGGGTATATGAACAAACACTGACGTCATCCCGTAGGTGGCTAACCCACCGCCTATTCCGTCGGATTCAATCAGGAAATATAGCATTAGTCAGGATAAGGGAAAATATGTAATGTTTCGGGTAAAATTGATATATTATACTTATTCAGAATCATGAGATAAAGCCCTCCCAACCGTCCGCTCTCACCACTACTGGCTTGCCTGTAAGCCTTTGTGGGGGCTTATTCGGAGAGAGCGAGGACAGCATGTCTATGGTCATGTGGGTGCTTTTTGGCGGGAGATAAGGGAGGCAACTCCAGGGTGAGTGATTGTACGTTTGCTTCAGGGAACTGGAAGGGATTCAAGTTCCCAGTTAACCATCGAAGGAAGAAGGAGATAAGCAAATATAACATGAGTCAGGATAAGTATAAGATATCAATTTTATCCGAAAAATCACATTTTTTCAAATTTAAGTTTTGTGGTGGGTTTCATGATGAAGTCTACCCTAAAACCTGCAATGTCTACTTGCCCTTAATCATGGTTTGGAAATATTCTAATAGGTCTATATATGTACTATGTCTATGTACTTAATTTGAGCTCAAATCCCACAGTTTGTTTTAAATGTTTGTATATTTTCAATGCTGAGTTAAGCTCATTCATTTCATTGTTTCAGATGGGTTGGATACGCAACTTAGAAATATCATTGGTAGGTACCTTTTTTGTTCTGTCCATTTGTGTTTTAAATTCTTTTCTCCTCCTTTCATCTCTAATCCTATTTTCCCTCCACTGAGAACACAGGGATTTGTTCAAGAGGCTCCAATCAGCTTTTCATTTTAGACATATTGAAAAATCCATTATTTGACATAACTCGGTAGATATCTTTTAACAATTGAAAGGAGTTGCAATAATTTGCTAAGCATTCTGAAGAGTTGCAAATACACTTTTGAAATTCAAGTAATAATAAACACAAGGATGACAAGAAGTGTTAGTCCTTCTGGTAGAATTGTCAAGATCAAGTCTTTGCTTAGTTTAAGATTGAATTATTTGTTTTTTCTTATCCCTAACTGTCCATTCATGAAGAACAAAATGGACAAAATGTCTTACATCTCTTTGGAGTAGAAAACCAGACAAAAATTGTAATACTTCTTGCATGTGAAATTTGAAGTAATTGAAACATTTTCACACTTAAATTCTCTGAAGCTATCTTGAATGAAAAAACAAAGAAATCAGTGATCATTTTTGGACAGACATTGTAATTGACTTCCATTAGGTTTCACAGAAAATGCAGGCTGAATCATTTGAAGATTTTATTACAAAACCTATCTTTTACCACAAAGACATCACCAGCAGTAAACATGGTAAATAGACCATCTTTTATTGTAAGTGGTTTGGTAGAGGTTTCAGCCATGTAGAATACATAACCCTGACAATCCCTGGCACTTATGAACCGGTTCTTTGTTGCCCTGTGGCTGTGAGGTAGAGCGTCTGCTTATGAATGTGAAATATACAGGTCCAATCCTGCTAGGGAAAACATTTGCACATTTAAGTTGATCTTTGTCGATATTTTTCAATTGATTTCCAACACTAACATATCATCTGAATTTGAATGTTGATGTTAATATAGAGTTAGGAAAAAGTAAAACCTGGGAAGAGCTCTTACTTACAAAAAGTAAAACCTGGGAGCAAACAAAAACCTCAAATGCGGTAATTCCGGGAAAAGAAGCCATTTCTAACATATAGTGAGAAGCAGCCTTCAGGTTTATAGAGATAGTTACAACTGATCATATATTTTCCGTCCAGGCTTTAATTCAGAAATATTCTTGTAAAAAGAAAGGTAGGTTTTATTGTCTTTTTATTGATTTTTCCAAAGCCTTTGACACTATTAAGCATGATGTTTTACTTCAATCCCTTTCTGAAGTTCGTATCTGTGGTAAATATTTTAATGTTGTAAAAACAATGTAACAGAATTTATCAGCTTGTGTTAGAACATCAAAAGGTTTGTCTAAATGTTGTTTTTTTGGCGTTATTGGTACCTGTCAGGAATGTGTTTTAAGCCCTCAACTATTTATTATCTTCATAAACAAGTTATGTACTTTAATGGAACTGGAGGGTGGTACAGCAGTGTTCACGAATGGTGTTTCAAAGTCACAGGACATTGGGTCCTGTAAGTTTCAGATGTCTGTCTGACCCATTGAAAATGCACAGGACCCATGGAATAAACTTAAACACACATTTCAGATTTAATATTTCTTATAATTGACATTCAAATTATTAACAAACATAAGATTTATAAACAGCAAACAAGTGTCACGTGTCACATAAAACAACTTCAGTCAAAGTCATTGTGAAATATACAGTCAGACACTGGGGCCGGCGGGTTGTAGACTTCTGTCTGACCGTTGGCAAATCTGCCGGATTTGTCAGAGGGTCAGACGCTATTCGTGAACACTGGGTACAGGTGTAACTGTTTCATCAGATTTTAATAATCTATGTTCACTTATGTTTGCTGATGATGTCTTGGCACTGTCTGATACATGCAACCAATTACAGAAAAAGATGAATGTTCTTTAGAAATTTTGTACACTCACTGGTATGTCAGTAAATCTTAAAAAGACAAAGATTCTTGTTTTTAGAAATGGTGGGCCTCTAAGAGATTATGAAAAATGGTATTACAATGGTAAACAAATTGAATCTGTATCTTTTTATAAATATTTAGGACTTGTATTAACACCAAAACTTGTATGGAGTAAAGTTGTCTTGTTTCTCAGGCCAATAAGACATTCTTTTCTGTAAATAACTTTCAGAGAAAAATGGGTGGTGTCAATTGTAAAGATTTGTTTAAAATATTTGATTGTATGATCTCACCTATATTATGTTATGGGGCTGAAGTTTGGGGCACCAGTTATTGTAAACTCATAGAGTCTGTACAAATTAAATTTTGTAAGTATTTTTTTAAAGTTGGTGAATCTACTTGTAATAATGTGGTACTTGGAGAATGTGGTAGACTCCCTTTACAAATTGTATATATGACTAAGGTTATCAAATATTGGTGTCATTTATTGTACTTACCCCCAAACAGACTCCAAAAAAACTGTTAGACGTGTAACTTGGGCAACTAATGTTAAACATATTTTATTTACTTATGGTTTTGGCTATGCATGCGTCAGTCAGGATATTGGAAATGTTAAGTATTTTATGTTTCTTTTTAAACAAAGACTGGCTGATAATTTAAAGCATTCCTGGTATACTTCCATCGAAAATTCACATACAACTGTTTGATATTGTCAGTATAAACCCCTTTTAGATGTAGAAAAATACTTAAAATGTAATATTTGTTTAAATTTGAGATCTGCCCTTTCAAAATTCAGATGTGGAAATTTTAACTTAGCAATAGAGACTGGGAGATAAGAAATTATAGCTTCTAATGAAAGATTTTGTTTATTTTGTAAATCAAAAGGTAATTAATGTTGTTGAAGATGAGTGGCATTTTGTATACTAGTATTTGTGAATGTTTCTCTGATGTTTGAGATAAATATATTGTGAAATATTTAAGTCAGCCTCTGATGATAAACAACTTTATACATATTATGCAATCTGCTAATGCAGAAGTACAGATAAGATGCGTATCTGCATAAATTACGCAAATATTTATGTGAAAACTCAATTCTTATTAAGTCTATTGTGTACAAGTATTCTTGATTTTTGTAAAACCTCAATAAATTTGATCTTACATGCGTACACACAGAAATGTCGAATCTTAGCTTGCATACCGGTGCATAGATAAATTAAATGAGGTAAACTATGCTCCCTGGAATCTGAAACTGTGCAAGCCCTAGAGGTTAGTTAAAGATCATTTAGATTCTGAACACCTCAGTAGTTAACACTATACTGCTTCCTGGAATCTGAAACTGTGCAAGCACTAGAGGTTAGTTAAAGATCATCTAGATTCTGAACACCTCAGTAGTTAACACTATACTGCTCCCTGGAATCTGAAACTGTGCAAGCACTAGAGGTTAGTTAAAGATCATCTAGATTCTGAACACCTCAGTAGTTAACACTATACTGCTTCCTGGAATCTGAAACTGTGCAAGCACTAGAGGTTAGTTAAAGATCATCTAGATTCTGAACACCTCAGTAGTTAACACTATACTGCTCCCTGGAATCTGAAACTGGGCAAGCAATAGAGGTTAGTTAAAGATCATTTAGATTCTGAACACCTCAGTAGTTAACACTATACTGCTTCCTGGAATCTGAAACTGTGCAAGCCCTAGAGGTTAGTTAAAGATCATCTAGATTCTGAACACCTCAGTAGTTAACACTATACTGCTCCATGGAATCTGAAACTGTGCAAGCACTAGAGGTTAGTTAAAGATCATTTAGATTCTGAACACCTCAGTAGTTAACACTATACTGCTTCCTGGAATCTGAAACTGTGCAAGCACTAGAGGTTAGTTAAAGATCATCTAGATTCTGAACACCTCAGTAGTTAACACTATACTGCTCCCTGGAATCTGAAACTGGGCAAGCACTAGAGGTTAGTTAAAGATCATTTAGATTCTGAACACCTCAGTAGTTAACACTCATACTATACTGCTCCCTGGAATCTGAAACTGTGCAAGCACTAGAGAGGTTAGTTAAAAAGATCATCTAGATTCTGAACACCTCAGTAGTTAACACAATACTGCTCCCTGGAATCTGAAACTGTGCAAGCACTAGAGGTTAGTTAAAGATCATTTAGATTCTGAACACCTCAGTAGTTAACACTATACTGCTCCCTGGAATCTGAAACTGTGCAAGCACTAGAGGTTAGTTAAAGATCATCTAGATTCTGAACACCTCAGTAGTTAACACAATACTGCTCCCTGGAATCTGAAACTGTGCAAGCACTAGAGGTTAGCGTAGTACTGATGCCTAGGACTCGAAACTGAGCAAAAATCATAATGTACACCAGTCAAGTTTATTAGATCCAAATAAGACATAGAAAATTACACATCTTTACATGGATGCGACATGGGTAAAAGATAGTGGAGCATATCCCATCATAACACTAACTGAACTGAACAAAACTTTATACACACTCAGACCGTTAGCGGTGGCAATAGAGGTACAACATTTACATAATATACATCAATATACAGGTATATGATATTCATCAACAACTTCACACAGCGTTGATAACAGATATCAAGATACAATATTCAACTGCAAAATATCACAACTGCGAAATGTGCATTGGAGATCAATTTAACACACATTCACAATACATCACATACATCTGGATGATAATACAACTCAACACAGCTTATATCGTGTCAAACTGTAAGAAAGCCACAGACAGACAAACCAGCGGTTGATACTGTGAGTAACAGCCCACAATATTTGGGTATGATGACAATTCATTCATACAGTTTCTCTCCTGTACACACATAACCCGCTGTTGTTGTGGTGTACAAACCCATTAAATTCATACATATCCTTATACAAGTTTCTTCTCCATATAACCACTTACCGGTTTGACAAGGCCATGTAGACAGTTGCTGAGGGTTAGCATCAACTCATCATTCACAACCAAGCCATCGCAGATATTCTACAAAATACATATTTGATGTACATAACATTCTACAAAATACACACAGTTTACATTAACTTCCATTTGATGTACATAACAGCATCCAAGGAGACACAATATGTGCCGACACCCAGTGG